TACTCATGTGATATTGATGTAATAGTTCAGTAAAGAAGAAGTTGGTATTGTGTTTAAGATACAGTATTGTCAGTAGTGTCTGTTTTGATCCATTTCACAAACCACAATCAAAACCACAGCAGAACAGTTGAGCGTCTCTGAGCAACACACAGCAGCAATTCGTTACTGAAGGAATCGAGTTAGTGATTCAGTGACTCGTTAAGAGAGTTGTCCCAACACCCACACTCGCGCTCTCTGCATTTGACCACTCGTCTCCTTTCATGACGTATTTCCTGCGTTTGTGAGTTCTGCACATGATGAATGATCCTCAAACACGGCTCTGAAGCGCTGTTAGACACAGATGGGTTTAGTGTTCGTTGAGGACGCTGAGCTTCGGATGCTTTTACACATTTACTTGCGTTGAATCAAAATATTTCTTTCTAAAGCTGTTTTTTTGTAATGTCAATTCAATGCTTTTCAACACAATAATGACATTAAATGATCTTTTGGGGGGTAATTTCTCAGCCAAAATTGATGTACAATTAATTTGTGATTAATTAGATAAAAAATGTAATCGCCTGACAGCCGTAGTATGTTAAATACATCTTATGAACTGGTCAGAGGAGGAGATGGAATATTTACTAAATCTTTGTTTAAAATCAGTTTTATTTCTATATATGTCATCAAGGCAAAAACTACAATTACAAAACTACACTTTTCATATTTTCTCCCATTCTGAATGCTGTGTATGCGCTGAGGTTTTGTTCATGTAATGCACATGTAAATGAGTATGTGAATCAGATCGCAGCGTTTAAGGTTCATATAAACAGATCTTTCTGAATCTGAAGTCAGGGTTGATTCATTAGAACCTTCCTACAGAGAGGCACCTACCTAGCAACCATCCAGAACACCCTAGCAACTGCGTAGCCATATGCTAAAACCACTCCAAACCGCTTAGCAACTGCATCGCAGATGCGACGTTTCATATTTTCTAATGAAATCTAGATAACTCTTAAACTAAATAGGAAACGAGCACGACCTCTTGAAATGAAGAGCGCAGAATGGAGAATCTGAAGAATACATCAGCCTTGAGGTTAATATAGTAACATTCGTATGTAAAATGTCATCGAATCAAATGCAGCTGACAGAAGCTAGAAAACCCCAGAGATCCGTCTGTTTCATCTCCACACAATCCCTGCTGAGGATCTGCGACGAGTGAGACTGGGCTGAGTGTTGAAGGAGTGGGTGTTCTGTCGAACGCTTCTGGATCCAGCAGCAGCACATCTCCATGGCCACGGGCCGATCAATCACACCACATTCATGTGCACCTCAGGCCCAAAGCACATCAGACAAGCTGAGATCCCTTCTGCTTCATGCAGAATCAGCCCCCAGCAGCTTTCTGAGAACCGCTGGTATCTGCTCACCAACCCAGCCATGCTCCGCTCCAGCGGCTGACGGTAATAGCTGCCGTCTGAGAGCCTTATCTGCTGTAATTCTGGTGTAGGTGGGTATTACTGTAATTAGATGTCAATAGAGACATGCGAATATATGAGACACTGAAATAGCCCCGGTGAGAAGCCAAGCGTCCTCATTTCCGCACTTTGATTTCAAACCATGTGGATTTGGAGACTTTGTACATTTTTAGTTCAGATTAAAACCAGCGCCGCCAAAGAAGCGCTTGGAAAGAAACGGGTTTTGTGAGTGTGTTTATGCCCGAGGGAAACCGTGCGACAGACTTCAGATACAAGTGTGTCATGAGTTCTGGATCGGGGTTAAAGAGTCATTTCTTTGCATGTTTAAATGAAATATACATGTACTGAGCTATAAATTCTATAATCAGTCTAATCCATTTTTGCACTAATAACAAAACCTTTGTGTCATTTTTCAAAACTCTAGACACATAATTCACAACCGATGATCAAAACACAACACTTTTTCCAAATGCTTGGATACAATACACATGAACCAAAGATCTGTTGTTCACTGAACTAAAATCACAGTTTCAAAATGACACAACTTATCAACAAAATATTACTATTTCACACATTACATCTGAATTGAGTGTCTATTCATTTCATTACAATTATCTAACTATAAATTGATACAACTGCTCAAAATGCTACATAACTGTTGCATTACTCTTGAACCATAGTTTTTATGGAAATGATGAACAATATTGAATGTTTAGATTATGAAAGTGAAGCAACTGAGTTATGTTCAGGTATGATCAGTTTCAAGATGCCTGTTGCTGGCAGAGAGAAAAATCCCCCAAAATTCTATATCTTTGTTTTCAGTATTTGTTTTTTCTACAATAACTGTCTTTTTAGAGGGTGATAGAGCTGGAAGCTGATGAAAACTATTCATAATTTTGTATGAGGCAGGCTTTACCCTGGCCATGACGTGAAGGAGAGTTTGAGAGGGCCCCTTTCAAAAAAAACGTTTTTGAAAAACCTGTTGTGAGTTGATTGTTTCATTAGTAATTTTCAACGTTTGTTTAATGATTCCAGTGTCTGTACAAAACACAACACTTTTTCCAAATGCTTGGATACAATACACATGAACCAAAGATCTGTTGTTCACTGAACTAAAATCACAGTTTCAAAATGACACAACTTATCAACAAAATATTACTATTTCACACATTACATCTGAATTGAGTGTCTATTCATTTCATTACAATTATCTAACTATAAATTGATACAACTGCTCAAAATGCTACATAACTGTTGCATTACTCTTGAACCATAGTTTTTATGGAAATGATGAACAATATTGAATGTTTAGATTATGAAAGTGAAGCAACTGAGTTATGTTCAGGTATGATCAGTTTCAAGATGCCTGTTGCTGGCAGAGAGAAAAATCCCCCAAAATTCTATATCTTTGTTTTCAGTATTTGTTTTTTCTACAATAACTGTCTTTTTAGAGGGTGATAGAGCTGGAAGCTGATGAAAACTATTCATAATTTTGTATGAGGCAGGCTTTACCCTGGCCATGACGTGAAGGAGAGTTTGAGAGGGCCCCTTTCAAAAAAAACGTTTTTGAAAAACCTGTTGTGAGTTGATTGTTTCATTAGTAATTTTCAACGTTTGTTTAATGATTCCAGTGTCTGTACTCTTCTCTCTAGTCTATTACACTGATGTATGAATGTGTGGAACCACAATGAAAGCTGCATCATGTGTTTTGAACAAATATATTTAATGATTGTATTAACAAGTAAACAGTGAAACTATGGGTATCTTGTGTGCGGCTGATCTAAAGTAATGTTCCTATGATATTTCATAATAAATGAGTTTTTTGAACCAATGCTTCTGCAAGTGCAAGGCTTCTTTAAAGATATGAACACAATATGCAAAGGTTTGAACATTGGACAGCCTGTGTTACGAATCATGACTGTTTTGAGTTTTGTGTCTAGAGTTTTGAAAAATTACACGAAGGTTATTAGAGCAAAAATGATTGTAAAAACTGTAAGCGTTCCTGTCCTGGGCTTCACTGGGCTTCACTGCCCTCTCGTGGTACAACACACCTCAGACATGTTATCAGTCGCTCATAGCATTCTTCATTATCAATGTTTACTCTCATAAGAGTGTCTGTTAAGTTAGTATAGTGTTGTGACAAACACACATCTGTGTCAAAGAACAGCTGAAATGCTTGTTATGACTGTAAACCGAGTTGTTTCATAAGTGTAAAAGCTGACATACTCACTAGGTGTTTTCACTAGGTGCAGACGCAGGTATAGTGTGTGTTTGAGCTGCTGCACGCCTCACACTCAGTGCTTGTGAGTAAACAAGCGTCTCTCTCCTGTTTACACACAAACACAAACCCATGTGCATGTGATGCACCTCTGCACTCGATACAGCACAGCACAACAGATGACTGAGTAATGCTGGAGCGGTTTACACTCAAGCCAGAAAAACATCTGTGCTCTCCAGTCACAAATCTAAAGTGAATGACAGATTAGGATTTCATTTTCAGCGAGATACAGTGAATCATTTCTAATAAATTACAGGAAGAAAAAGACAAAAAACCAGTGAGAGAGACTGAGCCTTCTCAGTAAGTATTTCAAAGCGACATAGCAACGAAGCTAATTCTATTAGTAAATGTATGTGATTGGATTATGACACCTCATTAATTGTCAATATCCAGGTAATATCATATGTGTATGGGAGCAGAATTATTAATATATATATATCAAAACCTTCTGCACTGTTTTCTTGGCTTGATCAGTATTCATGACAAATTCCTTCAAACACACCATCAGATGCATCCTTTATTTACAGTGGCAGCAGTGACCTGATGATGACCTCCTGGTGTCATCATGTAGCAGCCAATCAGATCCGAGGGATTCTCCAGCACTGAACTGTGACTGGAGCTGAGGTGGTAGGAAGTGACGATGGATCAGGAAGTGAACAGGAGGAATGGATGGAAGAAGCTGGTTGTTTTTATCCGTACACTGGAAGTCTAAACTCTTTGCTTCCCATCATTCTTCAGAATATCTTCTTTTGTGAGAGTCATACAGGAGGCGAGTAAAGAAGCACTTTTGATGACAGCAAATGCAGTGCACATGAAATTGCTGAAATGAAGAGAAGCCTTATTTTACACAATATTTGCTTAGATTTCATTAAAAAGCAATACTGAAGGTCATTCTAAGCTTTGGTAATTCTGTACGTTTTGTAAATGTTATATTTCTTGTGTATTAAGTGTTCACTGTGCACTGTGTTGTTTGTCTGTACAGTGTGTATATGTTAGTGCTCCGCTGATGTATTGTGTAGGTTTTCACTTTACACTCGGGTAAATAGTTGAGTGACAATCAAGAGATTTGCTGATGATCTGAATTAGTCCATCCTGAGGTTATTAGTGATTGCATGTAATCTCTGGTGTTTGTGAATAACTGCACAGGTTTCCTCTGGCCCGGCCGGACGTCTGTGGGAAATGGCTGGCCGCTATGAAGAGAAGAAACTTCAAGCCCAGCAAGTACAGCAACATCTGCTCTCAGCACTTCACCAGAGACTGCTTCAAGCGCGAGTGCAACAACCGTGTGCTGAAGGACAACGCCGTGCCCTCGCTCTTCTCCTCCAGCAGACTGCAGATGCAGGTGACGTGACTTCAAACCGCAGTTACTCTAGCACAGAAACTAATACAAACCTCTTGTGTTCATGGGTGTTATTGGTGAACGTGTTCATAACAGAATGTAGTGTTAGTCGTGCTCTTGAAACTAGAAACGGCAAAAAAAAAACTGCACAGAGATTTAGTGAAAGTGAAAGTGACGTGACATGTGGTCAAGTATGGTGACCCATACTAGGAATTAGTGTTCTGCGTTTATCCCATCCTAAGTGCACACACACACAGCAGTGAACACACACACACCGTGAACACACACCCGGAGCAGTGGGCAGCCATTTTTGCTGCGGCGCACGGGGAGCAGTTGGGGGTTCGGTGCCTTGCTCAAGGGCACCTCAGTCGTGGTATTGAAGGTGGAAGAGAGCGCTGTACATTCACTCCCCCCACCTACAATCCCCACAAGAGACTCGAACCCACAACCTTTGGGTTACGAGTCCGACTCTCTAACCATTAGGCCACGACTTCCCCATTTACACCTGAACAAACATTTTAAATTTCTGTCATTTTCTATTTCTGTTTTTTTTCCCTCCCAGTTCAGCAAAACATTAACATTTATTGCGTTTATTTTTTGACCCTTACCACATGCTGTAGTTATCTGTTTAACTAACCATTATAACTAATTAGTTAGATATGACCTCAGTTATGATTGTCTAACCTCTATACATGTAAAATGAGGGTGTCTAGCTCCAGATCTGGGCTCCACAGGATCATTAAAGTAATCCATAGGACTTGTGCCCAATACTGTATATCTACAGTTTCCTGACATCATGCGATTAATGGGAGGAATGATGTAAATCTGTCTCTTCCTCCTCTAATCTCATTGGTTCAGGCAGATATTCAGACTCATTGCTCTTATTTGATGTCTGTATTTCCAAATGCCATTGGTTCCATTGGGTCTGTCTAATAAACAAGAGCTTTTTGTCATTTTTGGAGCTTGATAGTCCACCGTCCACTTTCATGGAAAACAGCAGCCGAGCACAGTATAAAGTAGGTCTTAGAAGTAAATGACAGAAGTTTATTTATTGGGTAAACTGACCCAGTAACGTCATTCTCAGCTGGTAAAGTGGTTGGGTGAAGATGAGCGGACGTCTCACTTTTGTCCAGGATGCATTTGAAACGTAAACGCTAATGATTCAGTGGTCACGCGTGTTTTGACGACCTCTGAATGTGGTTTGAGTGTTTGGATCACAAAACGCTCAGCTCTTTTTAGACTGAGAACGAGGCGTTATGAAAGTTACAGAATGTTTCAAACTCTCATTTCTCCAAAGTTCAGGTAAAACACGGCCCTGTCCCAAATGCTGCGAGCGCAAGTCTGCATCAAGCGCTCCATTCGGGACACGGCCTTTGAGTTCCCATCATATGAGCCCTATAAATCTCATCATTAGCACATTTGCTGAGAAAAAAAGAACATAATTTGCCCTCCGTTGTTCACAGGCAGCGCCTCTGGAGGAAACATTGAGCCCAGACATGGAGTTTTCTCTGAGCCTGCCGCTGTCTGACGCCGAAGAGAAGCCGGCCGTGCGTCCGTCTGAAGCAGAGCTCTGCCCGTCCACAGCCCTGCCGGACCTCCACACCAGCGCCTTCGTCTCCTGCGACCACAACTACACGGTGGAGGACACGCTGCAGCAGAAGAGACGCATCGAGCAGCTGCAGGAGCAGATGGAGAAGCTGCGCAAGAGACTGAAGACGGTGCAGCAGAAGTGCAGGCGGCAGGAGAGGCAGCTGGAGCGCTTCAGAGCCATGAGCGAGGTCCAGAGGGACGCGGCGCTGGGAGACAGCTACGTTATCCTGCCCAAAGAGATCTACGACGTCCTGAAAGGAATAGAGACCATCGGTGCGTTGTGAGGGAAGTCGAGCGAGAGAGAGTCACGGTTTTAAGTGGTTTTAGCTTTTCCTTTAGGGGTTTTAATTCTTCTGTCAATCATGACGTGTGTTCTGAATGTGTGTGAACGTGTTCTCTTTGACTGAAGGAGGTTCAGATGGACATTGGTGACACAGAATGAGGTTTAGCTGCTGTGGGTGTTGATCACAGATCTTTGTGGAACCGAATGTCATTTCAGGAGAGGATCGTCCGCTTCAGAGCACAACTAACTCAACATGCAATAACTGTGTGAGAGGATCATTCGTCCGTTTGCAGCGTCTGAATACGTCTGCTTCGGTCAGAGTAACTAGCACTTGTGAAAATAGTCCATGCACTTGGATGCCAGATGAGCCCCGTTGCACGAGAGACTCGACCGACGCTGGAGCTGACTCCGTGACAAACGCTTCAGTAAATCAGGTTCTCATTATCAGCAGATTTGTTGAAATGGCAGCAGATCAGTGTTTGTTCAGTTATTAAATGTTTTTTTTTTAAACCTCTAGAAACTATACTGACTAGTTTGTTTTGATTTGATTAATGTACTAAGATGACCAAACTGGACTTCACTAAACACATTTTCAGTAGCCATAGAATCACATATCAAAGGGCTTTGAGCTGTTTGTTGTTGTTTTCTCACCCCTTGCTTATTCATTTATTATTTACAAAACAGTAATAATTGTGGAATCAATTTAAGCCATATATGGGTAAAAATAGATTTTTGCTGGGAAAACTCATAGTTGCCTTACGGTCACAGTGCAATTGTTCATGTGTTTGACTTTCAATACAACGCTCTCATTCTTGACCTGAGTTTGTGCTTGAGTGCGTTAGAGTGAGTTTCAGTGTTGTCAGGCTTCCTGAATGTTACGGTTTATTACTGTCTTGTACAGACACACGTATAGGACTCACACTTAATGGAAGATGATTGTATATATGGTCAGTATCTGGTCAGATTTATAAGGCACCCACCTGGCTAAAACCTGATGATTACATTATTTTAAATGAGTCTACCACCCCAAGATTACTGTTATAAACATGAGCCACGTCCAAAAGGTAAAGGGGGAGGTGTTGCTACAATTTATAACAATGTTTTCAGTATTTCTCAGAGGGCGGGCTTCAAGTATAACTCGTTTGAAGTAATGGTGCTTCATATAACATTATCCAGAGAA